TTTCCTGAGCGTTCCCCTGATTATGAAAGGCAAGCTTAACGGTCGTTTTGGTTGTGTTCTTTTTTGAAGCTTTTTGGTTATTCCGCAGTTCTATGAACATGGGGCCATCTGGCCGCTTAATAAGTGTTGTTTTTGGTTATTCCGGAATTCTGTGAACATTTCTCAATTATAGCCATTCCTGGTTCCGCTTAGGAATATTGGCCCATACTACAAAATGTGAACTGTTCACGTGACGAGGAAATGCTATAGCTACGCAAAAAGCATATCAGATTGATGAGCAAGAAGGCGCCATTTGGGTGATTATGGTGGTTTTAGGAAGGAAGGTGGAAGAGGCTTGGGCTAATAAAGTGATATTGGAAAGCCGAAGGGCAGGCAAAGAGCGGTCGGTATGGTATTGCAGTTTGTGTTGCTTGCAGAGCATGACTGTGGGAGGAGACGAGTGTGAGGACGAAGCCGAAGTGAGCGATCTCAGAGAAAGTCTGCGGGCTTGGAGCACATTAGCCGGTCCATCATCTTCCAGTGCGGCTGTTGTCGACCAACAGCTGGTATGTCTCCAAACAATGTTTTAGGATTTAACTTGCCCATGAATTACTGTATCTTTTTGGTGCGGTGTTTTGACAACCTAAAATTATGGTGATATTTTCGGAAGCAAGCTTATAAATTCCTTATTTTCGAATTTCAGCAGTCGAATGCAGTCTTTGGTGGCCATTGATACATGTACGATTCTTTCTAGAAATTGTGCTTGTGTCACAAACTCCGCTGTAATAGCGGCAGTGATGCCAGGATCCACTTTTGCCCTTCAGAATCAAAGCACTGTATTCAGTATGTTGTTGCATTGCAGTATGATCTTTCATCCGACTGCGATCCTGAATTCGAAGCTGTGCTCAGCAGCGTCTTTGCCAATGAAAATCGACTGTTTCAGCCTCTTTCGGATGATACTGTAAGTCCACTGTTCCAGAACCCGTTGGCACGCCATCATACTCCCAGCACATGTTATATATTCCTTTTCATGCAATTTCTAGTATTAATTTATATGCATATACAAATTACTACAAAAAAACGTGCATTTATATATGTACATATGTATATATATATATATGTATATACATACATATATATGTACATATATATATATATATATCGTAATTAATATCTCTGTTGTAAATTGCGCGCATGTAGCGAGCAGAGTTAAGTTTTCCCCGATTTTCACTGTGCAAAAATAGTGCCAGTGAAAAAACCTCCTGGA